GTTAATTTGAATAGATAAATAATTGTTTAATTTTAAAATATTATATATATATATATATATATATATTAAAATTTTAAATTTATTATATTTTTAATAGGAAAGATTAAAATCGCACAATTATGATATTTGAGGGACTAAAATTGTTCAATTAAAAATTGAAGGACTAAAATTACACAACTTCAATCTTTTAGGGACTAAAATTACTCAATTAAAACCTTAGAGATCAAAATTGCACAATTACAATACTTGAGGGATCAAAACTGCAATTAAGCTTATATATATTTATTGTAAAATAAATATATATAGGCTTAATTTAAAATTAACATTTTTAGTTTCACTAACTCTATTTTTTAGTCATCATAATTTAAAATTAACATTTTTAGTTTCTATTCTTATATTTTTTAATCTTTTTTTAGACTTTGTAATGATACAATTAAAAAAATTAAAAATCAAGTTTAATGACTAAAAATATCTATTTTAAACCATAGAGATTAAAAGATAAAATAATAAATTATATGAAATAAAAAAGTATTTTACCATATATATATATATATATTTATTGTAAAATAAAACAAAAAGGAGAAAAAAAACGAAAACAAAATTATTTAACTTTCTAGTGTGTATAAAACTTTAAAAAGCATTAAAAAGGAGGTAGTAGTATTTTGTGAAGGAAGTAGATTGATTTGATAGAGATGGTAATAATTTGGTGTTAGAATATTTAGTCGAAAAGGCGGTAACTAATATAGGGCACGACAGACAGCAGGAGCAGAATAGAAAGAATGAATGAATCATCATCACAATAGGAAGACGCATGATTTTGGTTTTCCTGAATCCCAATCACGAAGAAAAGAATCTCAATCCCTCGCCTCGATCTTGCAACTTCGCCATAGGGATCCATGATACTCCTGCAGTCCCATTCAAGATTCCTGCTCCAGACCTTATTGAATCGGGCCCAAAAGTGCGTTTTCTCTTCTTTCCTTCCTTTTCATTTCGCTGATTCAGGATCACTTCACGCTCACTCACTCTCAATATTTCGAATGTAGTGATTGAGGTTTTGTTTTGTTAGAGTCTGAATTTCTGATCCTTCCATTGTGGCCCTTTTGTTTGAAATTGAAGTTTAATTTCATCACAAGGAAGGGTGGTTCAGTGGGTCGACAACTTGTGTGAGTGGGCTTGTTAGATATTTGATTGATTAACTTCACCTGATGGATTTTGCTTTATGGAGAGTTGGGTCTTGATGTCTTTGAATTGGATGATGCTTTTTAATGTCAATGCTGAGGAAAATTGCCAAATTGGGCTATTTGGGTTAAGGATTTTTGTTTCATAATAGCATGTGTATGTACTATGCAATGTCCTTTGTCTTTAGTTTTGTGAAGTATTAGTGAACATTGCTGTTTATATTAACCCGCACTGGTTTTGCTGGAGAATTGTGGATAGGTGTGTCATGACAGCCATAAGATTGAATTTAATTTGTCTTGTTTTGTAGCACTGTTGGAGAACTGAATGGAATGTGCCTTGTGTCGATAGATTTTTTCTGTTTCTAAGTGTTGTCTATTTTTCCTTTTGACATTCTCGTATTGTTAATGGATAGAAATACCTGAAGACCAGTGAGACTGCCTTGCTAAGTCAATAAAGTGGATAATGGAGAAGAAAATGTTCTCTATTATTATTGCTTCGTAAAATATGAAATAACAGATTTAAATTGTGTTTGAGTTTCAACACAAAAGGTAGGAAAAATTGTTTTGATTAATTGATTTTCGGAATGATATTTTAAAAATGAGTTTAGCAGAACTGATGGTCTGGAATCTGGATGGTAAAGTAGAATCACTTTTGAAGTGTAAATATAGGTATATTTTTAAACATTTTAATCCGTAGAATTGATTTTACTCTCGGAAAGTTAATTCTACTCACTGAAAATTTGTTTTTTTGTCACTGCAAAAATTAACCAAACACACATAATTACTGTGTCTGTGCCTTCCTGGGACATTTTGTTGCTGCAAATGTGATTCCTCTTGCAAACATATAGGCTTGGAGTCTTGGAGGCCCAAGAGGGACTCCAGTTCAGACAAAATTCAATGTAATTAAGTGTAGCTACATCCGTACTTAAATTTAAACAAACCTGATGGTAATGGGAAATGCTTTTTCACACATACGTCTGTTAAATTTATGCCAAGTATGTAATTGCTGACTTTGATTTCATCCCATTATACGATTGGTGGTAATATGTACTTCCAGATAAAGAGGCCACATTTAAACTCCATTTATTGCAGTTAGGCCAATTGTTTCCCTTCCTCACGCTAATTATGAAACCTGAATTTTGGCTTCTGTCAGACAATTTTAATTTTGATCACTGTTTCAGTCTTGATAAAGGAGTTGAACTGGATCACCACTGGGTTGAGTTTGATGATGTTCGATACCATATTCAGGTAACTACATTTTTTATGGAGATAATTATCTGGAAAATATTTGGATGACATCCTTTGATTTTTTTAACGTAGCTGGTTAAATATAGCCCTATATAGCTTTTGTTAAATATAAGTGTGTTTTTGACAGTTTTAAGTTGCACATTAACCAAGCATTAATGATTGTAGGTGTCAATGAAGAATCCTCATGTTTTATTGCTATCGGTATCATTGCCTACTCCTTCTTCAGAAACTATTTTTGTCTGTGGACTTCCATTTGGAGCCATTGAAGCAATAAAAGCTGCATATGGTAATCTTGTGCAAATTCTTGACCCTCCAAGGGATGGCTTTAACCTCACATTAAAAATAAATCTGTCAAAGCTTCCTGCAAATCAAGGTACAAAGAGGTTCTGTGTAGAATATCATTGTAACTTCCCATTCCCTCTTTTGTTCATCTTAAGCTCAATTTTTAAGCTGCTATATATTATATGCATTAGAATAATTGACAGGTTTTACATTTTCATTACTCTAGTACTTTTTTTCATCCCTTGTTTTTTTAGTTTCAGGAATTTATCTTTATCTTAGATTAGATGTTGCATAGTTTTTATTTTTATTTTTTTAGTTTTGAATAAACTTATAATTGAACCACCTGGCTAGTTGTTTTAATTTTCAAACTGAGTGTAGGTATCAGTCTGAAGGAATAGGATAATTTAGTTAATATGGTATGTTGGCTTGTATCATATACCATATGCTTTGGATTGTCTATATTCCGAACATTTTATGTTTGCTGTTTGGGTTCATTTTAATGTTGCATGCTAGTGTTATTATCCAAAGGAAAGCAATTAGTATAAACTATAAAAAAAATGCCTTTTGATCAATGCTAAAGCTTTATGAACAGATGGTGGTTCTTTATGGCCTGAAAGAGGGTTCCATGATTATTCTTATCCAGCAAGAAATAGAATCTTGATCCAACAAGTAATAAAGAAAAACCAAACCTCACATTTTCAAAATTACAAGTACAATGGGACACCCTAATTTCCAAATTTATTGTAAAGCTTTAATGAAACTTAATTTCGTCATATAGGGATCTTTTTTTGACTCCTTGGTACATATGGTCTTTGATTGCTTGATGACCATGCTCCATTTTTGTTTAGTTTTATCTATCCATTCATCTGCTGATTTATGGCCATCACTATTTGCAGTTTATTTTATAACTATTTTGTTGTGATTTGATGTGAATATTACTGGGGATTGTTAAGGTTACTGCTTGACAATGGAATGGATTATATAATACAATGTAAAAATAGTCTTTTGATTGAAAAAGTTAACTTTTAATTTGTCAAGAGAGGAACGACTGAACATATGAATGTATTTGCGTGTCTTGATTACACAGCAGAGCATATATCTATATTTTATATTGTCATAAATACAAGAGAAATGACAAATAACTAAAAGAATGTACATATATATCATAATTAACATAATTGCAAGAATACAATCTGCCCTATTTATTCTTTTATTATAATTATATATTTACAACACATCTGTTCAAGCTGCAGCATATAAAACATATGCACCTCACTTGATACATATTTAACTAATTTGAGGATCTCTTAATGACTTGGAGAGAAGCCTCCACTTGTTAATAATTGGAATTGCCAAAGTTAGTGATGATGTTTTCAGATAATATCTCTCTAATGAAATGCAATCTTAGTATGTTTGGTTCAATAGACAACAGGCACAGTTTTTGAGAAAAAAATTGCTCCAATAGACACAAGGCACTGGGTTGTCATGAATTAGCGTTGCCTTGTTTTCAAGCTCTTGCTAGATACCTAGTTGAAAGACAGGAATAAAAGAACATGTGAATAAATTCATATGTCTAAATTATTCAATGAAACATATTTATATTAAGTATCACAAATACAACAATAATTACAAGAATATACAATTACACTAATTAATATAATTACAAAAATATAGTCTTCCAAGGTGATAAACTTTTGATTTTTAAGCATAAATTACTAGAGGAGGGTTATTGGGAATTACAAGGTAGTGTTAACCTCATTTGGGATTAGATGCCTTATAAGATAAGAAAAGTTGCTACTAAGCAGTCTTGGGTGAATCAAAAGGTTTTGGGACTCGAGATAGAATCTTGGAGATGGAATGAAAATGTTCAAGATAAAAAAACAAAGTGATTGCCTTAAAATCTTGCTTGGGTGCAATAATGATAAATTCTTGTCATGCTATAGAATGCTAGGAATGATATAAGAAAAGGTGTGAGTGAAGTATGACCTGATGCCTTTGAAGTGTTTTACAAAGTTCTTGTGACAAGGAATGCAGAGCATAAGATATATAAGCTTGCCAAAAATAGAGAAAATAAAACAAGAGATTTGGATTAATAAGATGCATTAAGGACGAAGAAGGGAATGTTTTGGTCACAGATCATGATATCAAAGAGAGATGGGGAAATTATTTTATAAGCTTCAATGATGGAAGAATTATAAATCCAAGAGAATGAATGAAATTTGACTTATTAGCATAGAACTCAGTTTGGAAAGGTAAAAGAGTCTATTAAGAGGATGGGTATGGTAAATATATGGGCCCAAATCCTATTCTTATTGACATTTAGGTAAATCTATGGGCCCATATCTATAAATGAAATTTGACTTGTTACCATAGAACTTGGTTTCATTTGGCTCACTAAGCTTTTCAGTGAGTGGAGGAAGAACATTTTGGTTCCTAATTTTAAGAACGAAGGTGATATTCAAAATTGTGCTAAACACAATGGTATGAGGATTGAAGAGAATCAATTTGGTTTTATGCTAGGAAGGTTTACAACAAAAGCTATTTTTCTCTTGTGGAGGTTGATGGGAAGGTACTTGAAGTAAAGAAAGAGTTTTATTTGGTTTTTTGTTGACATGGAAAAAGCTTATGATCGAGTACCAAGAGAATTGTAGTGGAAGGTTTTGGAGAAGAAAGGTGTTCAAGTGACTTATATCTGGGCTATTCAAGACATGTATGAAGGGATAGTTACTAGTGTCAAAAATCCAAGAAGTGAGACTTACGACTTTCCTATAGGGATAGGTTTACATTAAGGCTCGACCTTAAGTCTGTTTTTAATCTAGTCTTGGACATGCTTACTTGGGGTATACAAAAGATTATCCCTAATTGCATTTTTTTGTGTGGATGATATAGTTTTGATTGAGGAATTAAGGGAAACATTTGACTTTATACTTGAACTTTGGAGTCAAACTTTGGAAAAATGGGTTTTCACTTATGTAGGCATAAGATAAAGCATATGAATTGCAATTATTGAAAGAGGAAAGTCGATCATGACTTGAAAGTAATAATGGACAGAGGTCATTCCATAGGTTTCTAATCTTAAATATTTGGAATCAAATTATACAAATTGATGGAGAAATTAATAAGGATGTCACACATGATACAAGTAGGATGGCTAAAATGGGAAAAAGGCATTAGAGGTTATTTTTGACTGCCAAGTACCTATGAAACTTATAGGCAAGTTTTATCGTACTAATATGACTAGTTATACTATATGGTAGTCAATGTTGGGTTTAAAGGGATATGAGAAAGGTGGTAGTGACATAAATGAGATTGTTAAGATGAATGTGTGGCTACACAAAAAAGGACATGATACAAACTGACCATACATGAGATCAGATTATGTAGCACCAATTGAGCAAAGGATGACGAAAAATCGGTTAAGGTGGTTTGGACAAGTACAAAGAAGGCCGAGAAAGGCCGTCAATGGGAAGAACACATGACTTTTAGTCTTGTAAAAAGGAGACAGAGGCCAACGAGGACTTTGGAGGAAGTTTTCATGAGAGATCCCATGACGAATAATATTCCTTAAGTTTAGGTTTTAATTGAACAAAGTGTCATTGTGTTTTCCATGTAGCCAACCTCACCTTGTGGGATAAGGCTTTGTTGTTGTTGATAAACAAGAATATAATCTTCTCTGTTTACAATATTATTATAATTGCATATATCAAACACAATTCAGCACAACAGGTAGCAAGTTGCAATTCATTGGATGGTTACTTGGCTGGTGCACTTGTGCAATTAATTTATCATGGAATTTGTTTGAGATCTCACATCGATTGCTGTAGGACCTTAGTTGTGAATGTAAGGGGAGGACAATCTTCACTTTACAAACTAATTTTGTAAGTTTGAGTTAGGCTCCAATCCACTTTCTTAAAATGGTATTAGAGTCTATCCTAACGATTATGGATTGTTTTTGGGCCTATTGTGCCACTCCCAATTAGGCCATTATCAAACCGTTCACAGATGTCAATCCTATAAACTTCATGTTCAAGATGTCCTGTCTTTAGTGCAAGGGGTATGTGTTGGAGATCTCACATCATCTAGTAATAAGACTTTAATAGTGTATATAAGCGGGGAGCAATCCTAACAAGTCGGTTTTGTAAGGTTGAGTTAGATTCCAATCCACTTTCTTAAGAAGATTTATTAGAATATTGAAGATATCTCATAATATCATTTCTATATCTTAGATTTGTTTAGACTATCTTTGATGATCTTTTAGGAATAGTTTCCATATTTCTTTATATTTCATGATTTGTTTCCTTATTTAATTAGTGTCAGGAGTCTTCTGTTAGTATACTTCTGAATGCCTCTATGCTTATGTTCTACTCTGCCTTGAATTAAAATTTTGGTTCAATGACAAAAAAAGAATTTTGATTCAATGGTTGTTCAAGTTCTTTTGACAATTGGTAATGTTGAACATGTGCAGAGCAAAAACATGCTTTTTTGGTGAAAGTTGCATCAGTAAGGGAGGTTGTCCTTGGTGCACCATTGAGAGTAATTTTAGAACACCTTGCTACAAGAAATGTTGCTCCAGACTTGGATCCGCTTGTTGCCCTTGTTCATCGGCCCAATGAGTCTTTCTTTCTTTTACCTAAGGTGTGATAATAATATCAACTTTTTGTTACTCAAGCCTTTATTGCTGCTTAGAATATTTTATTCACTCTTGTTTTCTTCCTACACTAGGGATTAGTTCCTTAACAATGCTATATTTAGGATTAACTTCCTTTTAACATAAATGTTGTGTCCTTGACTTTCTTGTCAGGCTATGCAATATAGCTTTGTCAGAAGAGTGGAAATACATACTAAGGAAGATAATGAGGCAGTTTATTGAAAGTAGGGTTATAAATCTTGGATAGCACTATAGCAGCATATGTTGAGAATCATGATGTAATTAAGTAATTAGGCACATAATATCTTATTTCTGGGAAACAAAATATCCCTTTTTCACTTGTATTGAATGAAATAAACCTATATAACCCACCTCTTGGGTGTCATTTAAAGTTTAAACACATAGTTGAAGAACATTTAGATATTTGAGAGAAAAAGCTTAAGTGTATTTCTTACACTTAGCTCCAGACTATATATATATATATATATATATAAGAGGGATCCTTTTACTCCAGGAGTAAGTTTACCTAGATTTACTCTGTTCAATAACTCATGTTCTACATCAAATTTCAACGATCCAACCGTTCAATTTAAAGTTCTTAATGCATAGATCAAATTTACAAATTTTTAGAAAAATTGAAAATCATTTGATACTTCATTTCATTAATTCAAATTGACGGATAATCATAAAATCATTTTATACATTGATTCGAATTAATGAAATGAAGTATCAAATAATTTTCAAATTTTCTAAAAATTTGCAGATTTGATCTATGCATTAAGAACTTTAAATTGAACGGTTGGATTGTTAAAATTTGATGTAGAACGTGAGTTATTGAACGGAGTAAGTCTAGGTAAACTTACTCCTAGAGTAAAAGGATCCCTCCTCATATATATATATATAGAGTACAAGACAAGAAGGGATAGCAGTCTGATCACTGATACAACCAACAATACTAGTGAAAAGATGTCAAAAAGAAAGATAGCTTTACAAGGAAGAAAACAATTATTAATTCTATAAAATACATTAAACTTAACACACATGGTTAGGAAAAATAAAAAGACAGACCAAGTAATTCTGTATTGGGCAGTTACATTTTATGCTTTGACAGTTAGTGTTGTATATGTCAGTTATGTTTGTCTCAATTCTGCATTTGACAGTTATGTTTTATGGTGACAGTTCTCCACCAAACCGTGGTGGTTCTAAGGTCTCCTCCTCCATTGGAGACCTTAGCAAAGCTTGGGAAGAATCAAGGAGCCAAAGATCTAGGGAGGAACTTGAAGAGGATTCACATCAATCCGGATTCTCAACAAGTTTTCCATCAGAGGTTGAAGCACTATAAAACTATGAAGACAGCAAGAGGTACTTCAAAAAGAAAGAGAAAAGATTGAAAGAGAAGTACAACTTGTTGCTCTTGAGGAAGAGATAAACAAAATTAAGCAACAAGAAGAAAAACTTTTGAAAAAAATCAATAAAAGAAAATAATTCCTACACTACAAAAGGCCGAAAATACAAGGCCCAAAAGAAAATACAAGGCACCAAGGCCCAACCCTATACTAACCCTAATCTAATGGGCTTGAGCTAAAGCCCAACAAAATAAAGTGATGGGCCTTTCTTGGGCTTGGGCCCACTCTTCATGCATCCTTCTTGCCATTGCTCTAGTAGTTGGGCCCTTAGCCCATGGGCCTCCTCCATCAGTATCTACATGGAGGCTAGCCTAGGGTATTCATAGAAGGGAAGAGGCATTTAGGGTTACATTTGAGAGTGCATGGCCAAGTAATGCAAGCCAAATGCATTTCAAGTGAAACCTAAATTAACCCTAGATGCTACTTGGTGGCCAAGGATGGAATCTTTGGGTTTGGTTAAGCTACATCTAGGTGCATGATAAGACCATGCAACTTAGGTTCCCTCCATTTGGGCCTAAGCCTTGCCAAGTCCAAAAATAAATCCAATGGTACCAAAAAAACATCTAGGCCTAGTTTCCAACCTTCATAAAATACCCTAGCTATAAAATCAAATCCTATAATCTAAGGCACCCCATAATATAAGGGTAAAATGGGAAATACAAGTAAAAATAAATCCTATGTCTAAGGTACCCCAAAATACAAGGGTAAAATAGGAAATACACGTAAAATAATTCCTATGTCTAAGGTACCCAAAATACAAGGGCAAAAACAGGAAATTAAAGACAAGGGCAAAATAGGAATAGAAAGAAATTCTATGCTAATAAGGCATAGGAGAATGACCAATATTCTATAGCCATAAGAAGCATGTCTATAGGGTGTTAGCTCCCCTATCCTCTTCCAATCTCCTAGCCATGGACCTAGTGATGGGTCCCATATGAGGCTGCAAGGATGCTCTTCCATCATTCTCTCCTTCTTGAGAAGGATTTGACCTTGAATCTTTAAGCTCATCCATGTCATTGGTCCTTTCAAAAGATGTGAGACCACAATTATTATTGATATAAACTATTAAGTCAGACGAAGAAATTCCCAAAAAGGTTTTTAGTGAGAAAAATATAATATATGTTGTTATCTCTAACAGGTGAGTTAGTGTTTTAGAAAGACATAAGAACAAGTAAAATGACGAATAGTCTAGATGACCTTTCAACCGTCTAAATATTCTATCATTTCATCCAAAATTTTCTTGGACTATCATACTCTCAATTAATGTGGATTGCGCGACACTCAATACAGCAATATGTCTCCATTGAATCCTTCAATGAATTCAAAGCTAATTTAAACAACAGATTTGACAATCTGTTCAATCTGATTGCCTCCAAGCTTTCAAAAGATCCACCTTCGTCTAGTTGATCATATTGAGGAAGATAGGACAGCATGTGCTAGTTTAGTCATGTTAGGAAGAAACATACAATGTGTATTTTGTTTTGATCATCCTTATTGTACACACTTATTGGTATTCAATACACATTTTTTTTACCTTACTTCTTATTTTGCTCCCAATTTCTTTTTGATGATTACAAAGGGGGAGAAATAAATAACAATATCTGATATCATATCTAATATCAAAATTTTTTATACGTATTGATGAATCAAAAAGGGGGATAATCGAGTAAGGGGCAGAACATACAGTCAAGGGAGAGTTACGTTTTAAGGAATAACTTAATAAACAATGTGTTATAACTAAAACAAGCACTTCAAGTTTCCAAGGCTTATCTGAGTGAGACAAATATAATATATGTTGTTATCTCTAATAAGTGAGTTAGTGTTTCAGAAAGACATAAGAACAGGTAAAATGACGAAGAGGCATAAGCATCAGACGTTATAAAACGAAAGGCGAACATAAGCACTCAACAAGCCAAATCAGGAACAAGACCATGCCAAGCACAATCTAAGGCAGCACATAAAGACTCAGACGGAAGATGGTCAAATGACTAAGAAGAAACTCCAAAAGAAATGGAAAGTCTGACCATATACAAGGTTGACCAAGACGAAAAGAAAAGTCAAAACGCTGATGATCAAACAAAGGTCGAAGTATTAAACTAAATATCGACTACTAGACGTAGATGAAGAATGTCATGCAATCATCTGAGAAATCAAGCCTCAAAGGAGAATTTGAATATCGTCTACACTCACAAAAGAACACACGAAGTCATTTCAATTATTAGAAGAGAAGAAGAAAGAAGAAGAGCATGCTCAAACACTAAAACATGCATATGTCAAAAAAAGTACATCACTTTTTCAGGTAAGGACAAAAGTTCCACAGCTATAGGATTAGAAAAGGACAAAAATTTTCCTAGGACTCTACTATATTCAGACACAGCTACTAATAGAGCAAGGAAACTTCACACATTTTCTATGAACGAGAAACAACATTTAATGTACGAATTTGAGCATTAAATGAGAAGATCAAACTGGTCATGAACGACTATATTTGCTTCAACGGACAATTGCAACGGGCAGATTTTGCAAGACTATATATAAGCCTCAACATCAAACCTTGAGAGGCTGGCTGTTTGGCCCGAAATGATGTAAGCGTAAAGAAGAGTAATATCCAGCCCATGGTTCAACGAAACCAGAGACAGTATGCATAGAGTCAAAAGTACATTAATGTATTCGTCTCAGTAAACTACAGAATTTCAAATATGTACATCTTAACATCAAACCGTAGTGAGTGTAGGAAATTTCCCAATCCTCTCTGTGAGAGTTATGTATACACTCAAACCAAAACTCTCTAGCTAACATCGTAAAGCCTGAAGAGGCTAGGAAAAGAATACTTGTAAAGCCCGGAGGGGCTTGTAAAAGAATACTCACTACTAGCTAGAAGTGGCTGATAAGAAAATACTAGCGTTGGTGAGTGAAGCCGACGGGCCAGGAGTGGTCGAGAATACTTGGAGAACCAGAAGTGGTTTAAGAATACTAGCGCTGGTGAGTGAAGCTGGTGGGCTAGAAGTGGTCGAGAATACTTGAACTAGAAGTGGTGTAAGAATACTAGCGTAAAAATACTTATTTAATACGTACAAAATAATTGTCCAAAACAATAATTATTTAAAAAGTACAAAATAATATTCCTCTACAATTATTAAAATAATTATGACCAAATACCATATAATAATAATAATAATAAGAATAATAATAATAATGAAGAGGTTCGACTATGACTCCTTCATTAAACTCAAAATTCTTCCTAAACTTCGGCAAACCGACAACAAAGTCTAGACGCATTATCTCACCTCTTTCCGATACATTATGTGTATCTCGATTCAACTACCATGGTGACAGTTATATTGTTGTATATGTGGTGTGACGGACCTGTAGGAGGCAGTTAATGTTTCAGTTGTTTGTGGTGTTTTGAAGGAGGAACTCCTTATGAAGTTGATGTGCTGTAACACTGTTCTTCAATTCTAGTCTATAAACCATGTTATTCTAGTAAAATATAACTATTTTTGTCTGTTCAATCCTTGAGTCCAACAGAAAGCCCTCTGGAATCTGGATAGATCGTTTATTAATGTCATAATAGAACTGAAATTTTTATTTTCAAAAAATATTGCTTGGCCTTCGCTGCCAACAGCTCAAGCTTTGAGTGAACTAATTCCTTGACATTTATTGGGAAAAATTCAAGTTCCACATTGACTAAAGATAAAGCTAAGATAAAGTATATAAGTGGGAAGCAATTCTCATCTTTTAAGTTAGTTTTATATGGTTGAGTTAGACTGATAATCCATTTTTTTAAAATGGTATAAGAGTTATCATAGATCTATTTAAAAAGGATCACTTACCGTTTATAAACATATGAAGCCAAATAGTGTTGGAAGTGAGGGAGTGTATTGGAAAGACCCATGTTCTGCCCATCCTAGATTATATAAAAAGGGTCGCTCACCATTCATTCATGCACCAAGATCAATAGTATTGGATGTGAGGGGTATATTAGGAAAAACCAAGTCCTACATTGACTAAAGATAAGGCTAAAATATAGTGTATATAAATGAGGAATAATCATTAATTTATAAACCAGTTTTGTAAGGTTGAGTTAGGCTCTTAATTTACATTCTTAAGAACATTCTTTAAGAGTCAATTGCAATTTATCCTTGAAAACTTGGGCACTATCTATCCATAAGCATCAAGTAAATGCAAAACTAGGAATCTCATTTAATTCCTGCTTTCATTATGCTTCTCAAAGTCTTTATAAGTGAATTAAGCAAAATTTCACAAAGTTTGCAAGACATATCCAACTTCTAGAAGAAATTTCAATGATCTTTGAGGATAAGGGAGCCCCATTAGTGTTAAAAAAGTCCACAAATAATGAAGAAAATAGATAAATGGAGCAAAATGATGAAACTCAACCAGAAATAGGGAGAATAAACAATCATTATTGCAATGAATAGCCTCTAATCAATGTTAACAAGATACGAAACAGATAAAAATCGACACAAAAGTGTGATTCTCTTCCTATCTCCCCAGGTATTTGAGAGAACTGAACTCACCCTCCCAATTTCCACTCCAAAATCTAATACTGCTTTCCATTGTTCCCTTCCTATCATTTATATCCTGTCCTCTTTCCCTTTT